CACACACACACACACACACACACACGGTCATGCAGAGGGAGAAAGCAGAGGGGAGGGAGGGAGAGAGAGAGAGCGAGAGAGGTAGCACACCACACACAACGAGGGAACCCCATCAGCTGGAAGTCGAGTAACATTACAACTCTCAGCAGCTTCAAACTACTACATTACACAGACGAGGGTCCACATCTGCTCTGAGGATTTAACCCGCGTTGGATCACGGGATTTTTTTCGCCCCGTATCCCCAACATTTGTCTCTTATAGTACAGAGACTGTTTGCTGTTTTTTTTTTGTGAGGAGAGGGGGGGACCAAACTGGCGAGAGGCGAGCATGGAGTATTTCATGGTACCAGCTCAGAAGGTGCCCTCCCTGCAACATTTCAGGAAAACGGAGAAAGAAGTGATCGGGGGTCTCTGCAGGTGCGTATGTACTCACGCTGCGTGCTGTGTGTATTTGTGTTATCATTAAGTCATCTGCTCGGAGTACACGCACTTAGCGACGCTGCTGAGGCAACACGCTTGATGCGATCTGTTATTGTGTACACGACCCATTCACGGGGAGCTGCGGGCGCGTATTATCACCCAACACCTGGGTCAGACTGCGGTGGACCATGTGCGGGCTCCGGCTCGGACCACCACATCCCATCCGCGGTGTTATTTCGCACGATCGGCCGCGAAATCGATGTATTTTGTGGCTAGCAAACACAAACCACGTGGTTCCGTGCGCACCACGCTGCCCCTCCGCTCCACGGCGCATCCCCGCTCCGTTTGTGCTCAATTTATCCCCCCTGTGTCACCCACGGGTGCCGTGGTCTGCGTAAGAAAGGGACATGTAACACGAGCGGGTGTCACACGGTGCGAAAGGGTCTATTTCGGACGCGAAACGTCGCGGGGGGGCTGCGCGATTTGGCTCCGAGCGATCCGAAGTTATTGTGGGTAGTGCGGCCATGCTTGGGGCTCGAGCTAAATGCGATGAGGGGGTCTGGCGTTTGTCTGAACTGCACCGCACTTTGTTTTCGGTCGCTGCTGACGTAGAAAGCCCATTGTATTTAATAATCGCCCCACCACTCGACGTGGCGCCGGTTTTACTGGTGTTTCCGTGCGTCTGGATCGCGCCTCCACTGCGTCTTTTCGCCCCGCACCTCTGCCATGCTGCCTGCCGCATTGTTGTAATGGCGGAGGACACGGAGGAGTGAGGCTGCTCCGGAGCACGGCGGCGGTGACGGGCGCTGTGGTGGCCGACGGAGGGAGCTCGTTTTCGGGGCTTTTGAAGACACATTCCCCTCGTGTGTCCGGTGAAGGGACATTTTAGCTTTCGTGTGGAGGAAGGATGATTAATGGCGGTGTTATTATTAAGGGGGTGTGTGTGTGTCGCTGAAGGCCCCGTGGATACGTCCGCAGCCCAGTTTGGAGAGGGAGGCGGAGGGATCTGCTGCTGATGGTAGTGACACGGGCAGTCTGGGAAATGTAGTCCCCCCCCCCCTTTTTTTTGTATTATTTTATTTTTACGACATAAGAATTGACTTCAAATCTTTGAACAATATGGAACAGAAATTGTAACTAAACATTTTTTTCTAATGCCCTGAATGCACCACATCCCATATAATTAATCTGAATTTGTCCTAAGTAAAAACGTAAATATAAAACATTTTATTTCCATCATTATTTTATCGATTAGTAAATTGCACAAAAAAATATTGCTTATTTTCCTGGTGTCTTTAATGCACCATATAATTCATCTGGACTTCTCTTATAATTAAACCACAAATATGTCACTTTTCATTTGTATTAATATTGTATTGACTAATAAACTAGTAAGAATATGACCAGGTAGCTTGCATTATACTTCCATTCACATAATTAAATGATGATCTTTACTATTGATTAATAAGCAGATTTATAATTGAAGCCATAAAATGTCACAAAATGGAGAAACATTCCAACAACCCAAGATTATTATTAAAATATACAACAATTTAAGACAAGACAAAGCTGCTTCTCACAGTAGAGAAGACAGGTACCCATTAAATATTTGCCATTTTGACAAAATGTACTAAGTTTCTGAATAAATCAATTAACCAATAAGTTCAGCTCTGTTTGGATGGCTCGTTGTTCAACTCTTGTTTTAAGCTTTAGCCCACCCCTCACTGGGACCCGGGCTGTTCCTCTGTACTGGTTTGTGTTTGTGTGATATGGTCAGTCCGGGCCCAGTTGGTCATGTTTGGATGTTTTGGCAGTGGATGGGTTTGCTGAATGTGCCGCTGCAGTGTCAGTGTGTATTTGTCTGACCGTGTGTGTCCAGACACACACACACACACACACACACACACACACACACACACACACACACACACACACACACACACACACACACACACACACTTCTCTCTCATCTGTGTCTGCACAATTGTTCCCAGTGTTTGTTCTGTGGCAGCTGAGTCAGTACAGATAAGAGCTTTGGCCGGAGAGGGTCCCAGAGATACTGAGCTCGATACAAAGGATGTCAAAGGAAGCTCGTCTTGAATTTCCGCTCGGTGTATAGTAAATAGTGGCTTTTCCTCACAGTTTGGGGGGGGGGGGGGGGGCAATATTAACAGTCCACTTGCTGCTCTAATTAACGGTCTCTTGGAGTTAACAGCAAAGCCACCTGATACCTTTTTAGCACATGTGGTCCATAAAGGTATATTGTGAAAGGTACTGATTTTAACACGAGCAAACTTGGTCCCTCCCCCAAGCACATACACAATAATTTTACATTTTAACACTTTTTCAAAATGTCATTCCACATAATCAGTGCCGTTCCAAGTCTTCATGTTCAAGGACCCATCAGAAGTGTGGAAGGTGACCCACATGGGCCCTTGTGTCAGGGGTAAATAAACAGTTTCTGAAATGCCTTTCTGCAGTTAACTTGGCAGGATGCAAGCGTAATGATGCACACACAGAAAAGTAGTTATTGGTTGACAAACGTGCTGTAAATACCAGATGTTGGTGATGTTTTTCTGAATCATTCAAAGCATAAACAATACATTGTTCTTACTGACTAATTGTGCAGTAAATGTAGCCTTTGAGGTGTGCACTTTCCCACAACAAGAGGCTGTCATGTTTACCTCACGGTGACATCAGTTGGGTTTTTTCTGGGGGGATTATTTCTTGGGTAAACTCTAAAGTACTTTAAACTGGAAGGCAAAAATGCTAAAATGTCCGATGACAGCAGCCTTGCAGACGGTGCGTTTTCCAGTCGCGCAGGATTACGTTGACATGCAGGCCATTGCTTAGAATTCGTTGGCCAACTTTGCTACTAATATTTATCTCAGTGTACTCGGCTTTGGAAAGCAACAACTTTCAAACGCGTCCACTGCAGGTTTATTATGACGATTCTGAGAAGTGAAGGAAACTACTGAATGTACTGTATTAGCAGGGAAAGAGACAAAGTGAGGGAATTTGGGTTGATTCAAAAAGAGAGAGACAAGCAAGACACAAAATCAACCACAGCAATTGGATTTGGTTTTATGGTACATGAGCGTGCGTTTCTCCTTTTAACACATGAATAACGAACTGAACCTTTTTATTAAGTAGTTAATTGTGTTTATCTTTGGATTAGAGAAGGAGGGTATGTTTTCACCCCTGTCTGTTTGTTGGTTGGTTTGTTGATTCCAGGTAGTAATTCAAGGATTCCGGCTTATTTTGGGAACTGATATCTATGAGTGTGTGAAATTCAGTGCAGCTGCATTGAATTTTAGGGGACTGTGGGGCTTCGGTGGAGGAATGCGCTCTACAGCCATTCCAGTTGGAAATGCACGTCTAATTGTCTCTTTAACGCCTTTGCCCCTCGTCATTCTCCCTTCTTCCCCAGTCTTGCCAACATTCCTCTGACCCCAGAAACAGCCCGGGACCAAGAGAGGCGAATCCGCAGAGAGATCGCCAACAGCAACGAGCGTCGGCGTATGCAGAGCATCAACGCTGGATTCCAGTCACTTAAAACACTCATCCCACACAGTGATGGAGAGAAGCTCAGCAAGGTGAGTCACATACGCAGTCATGAATTGGATGATGAGTTAGATGTCGCTGCGAGGGTCTCACCTCTCCTCCATCACAGGCCTGTAACATAATTCCTCTACTCTTTTCCGCCAGGCTGCCATCCTGCAACAGACAGCAGACTACATTTTCACTTTGGAGCAGGAGAAGACGCGGCTATTGCAGCAGAACAGTCAGCTCAAGCGAATCATACAAGTAAAGCATTGCCGTGCCAAACCTTGAATTGTTAACAAAGCTGTTTCCAGGCTTTTCTGTTTCTTTGAAAGTAAAGTCTTTTTTGTGTTAATCTCATAACGATTAACAACTTTTGTTTGCTCTCCCCAGGAGTTAAGTGGTTCTTCCCCGAAGAGGAGGCGTGCAGAGGAGAAGGATGAAGGCATCGGCTCGCCAGACATCCTGGAGGAGGAGAAGACCGAGGACTTGAGGAGGGAGATGATCGAGCTGCGGCAGCAGCTGGAGAAAGAGCGGTCAGTGCGGATGTTGCTGGAAGATCAGGTAAGGGATGACTTGTAACACAATTTTTCAAAAGCCTGAAACTGTTGTGTATCCAGACAAAGCTGGATATTGTTTGGGACATGCAAGTGAACCTTTTATCTCCTGCTCTGTTTGTCAGATGCGTTCCCTGGATGCACAGATCTACCCAGAGAAACTTAAGGCAATCGCCCAGCAGGTCCAGGAGCAGCAGGCCCAAACACAGAGCCTCGTTCATCAGCACAAGCAGCTGGAGAGGGACTTCACTCCAGCCCACAGCCCACAGGTTGGAAACACTTTCATATGATTCTGACTTAAACAGCAGAATCCTTTTAAGAAGTATGCCCCTGCTGATACATTTCAGTTTTTGGTAATTGGGAAACTTCCCAGAGTCCAGTTCACTTGATCAATGCTTAAAGAGATTATATTGGGTTATTCATAGAGAAGGATCCGTCTCAGCTTAACACATTTTAACCACTTGGATGTAGTTTTTTTTTTTAAACTAATTTTCCAATTGAATCTCATATAAATTGGATTTGATTTGTTCTTACATTTCATCACCTAATATATATTATAAAGTATTTGTCTTAACTTTTTTAATTTTCCCATAATTAGGCATGCATTTAAACAATCATTTACAAATCATGACAATTTTTCCAGACTTTTTTCAATATTTGGTTTTTGTTTAGTTGAGGGCTCAATCATCTTAATTCATCAAGTGGCTGCAACCAAAGTCCCCTCCCCTCTTCTGTGTCTAGCCCTAATATTTTATGGACATGTAAAAGCACATCGTAGATTTCATACTGACACACTCACACAACCTGTCAACAGCTCAGACACATTTACAGTGTGTTAAATGAGCAGCTTGCACATCTTTCTGCCTGTCTCGTCTCCCCGACAGCAACAGTATCCTTTTTCTGCTGGCTAACTGAACTGAACATGATGCCGAATCAATCTGCAGTCTGCTCCTCTGCTGCTGGTGGCAGCCGGGCGCTGATACTGAAAGACGATTTGATGATTGAGACGCACTGGTTTAGTCATGTGACACTTTGTAACTCCCCAAGCAGAAGCTGGGTGATATGCCCTCAAATCAATATCGGTCAAATCTGATGGAAGTTACAGAACAAATTAACAGGAAGCAAATACAATTTCATTCAAATATATCTCATGCACTATCATCATGACAACTTCATGAAAATGTAACAATCTGCTCTAAATTTCATGAAGTGATACGTTGAAACAAAAGAAACAAAAATCTTATTGCCCACAAAAATAATGTTGTGACAACAGAAGATTTTGCAACCGGATCTTCTTGTAAGTCATTTCCAGAGCTTTCAGTCACAGCTGTAAGATGTTATGTTAGAGGGTCTTCAGTCTCTGGGATCAATGACCTGACTTCAACAGGCAATATATTTGGCTCTCCGGTGTTGATAAAGGATGTACAGGCTAAGACTCCCATCTTCTGTTCGCTGTACATCAGTCAGAGTTCAACCAGTTTCTTTTATCACTGGTGCTTTAGGTCCAGACAACATTTCTGCTGATCACTCGTAGCAGCTATCTGCTTATGAATGCAAGTACACGAAAAAGCCTAAAGCTAATCCATTATGGTAAATCTATGGTTTAATAATAGATTCTTCCTTGCAGGTGTTGGCCCCTGCGACCCCTCCTGCACCTACACACCATGCCACGGTCATCGTCCCGGCACCGGTCCAAACTCCCCAACCCCATCATGTCACCGTGGTAACCATGGGCCCCGCATCAGTCATCAACACAGTGTCCACATCTCGACAGAACCTGGACACCATTGTTCAAGTAAGACCAAAATGGAAGGAGGTCAGAAGGATTTCTTGGTGTAATGGTTTTTGTAGATCTGACCACTAGAGGGTGCTGTTGTCACTCAAATCTCTCGTCTCCCTCCGCCTCTCTCCAGGCAATCCAGCACATTGAGGGCACCCAGGGGAAGGGTTGTGTCGGCGAGGAAGAGCAGCGAAGGGCAGTCATCGTCACTTCAGGTCGCGTACTCTCAGACGCGGCGGGCTCAGACACGGCGTCGAACAGTGACGGGCCGGACGACTGCTCGCTGCCCTGAGCTCATCCCTGATTTCACGCACGACGTAAACGCATACACAGAAAACGCCCAAGAAGACCAGGGCCATGGGCGGCTTCAACCCCACAGCACTCTTGTTCAGTGGACATTAATAGGGCTGGTAGACAGATTGAAGCACTCGTCTTTTTTTTCCTTCTTTTACTACGCACTCTTAACATGTTGTACCGTGATAGGCAGCCCAAATAGGTTTACACTTAGACACTCATACATGCAGCCTCTCCTGCATCTTCTCTCTGCTAATCTCTAGGCCTCCGCTATCTCACTCATATCAGTTCATTAACGTGTAGAAAGGTTACGATAGCAACTATTTCACTGACTGATCCATAAATGCTCTGTCACACGGGATATTATTTCAAATATCCGATTCAAAGAGACACTTTGTTGAGCTTACAAGACAAGACTGTCTCAACGTCACATCTTTACAGCTTTTAGATGAAACATTAGGTTTATTCACTCTTGTGAAGTCTACTCTTTTCATGTTTTGTTTCTCTGAGGCTCCCACAACCAGCAAGTTAAAGCGATTGTACTGGAAAAACACAAAAAAAGGCACCACGTTGGCAGCAATTTAAAAGCTGTCGTCATGGGTGATTTGGTGCTCACAGGAATTGAAATAAGCTCGGGAGGAGAGAGTGCACTTATGGTTCACAACTCTATTCGTTCTTTTGTTTGTTTGTTACCTTTTTTTACTGGGCTGGGTTCCTAGTAATCCCACATGTGTATTTGGCATGTTTTTCTTTTTACTCATGGCCTGATTTAAAAAAAGAAAAAAGTGCTTTGACATTTCTTGACACCTTCCCATGTTGAATAGAAGAGCACCTGGCTTGTTAAATAAGCTAATCCGTGGACACTCTGTAGTGATTTCCACTGGTGTGAGTGTGTATGTGTCCCTTTTTAGCGTCTTTGAATCAGCAGAGGCGTCGGTGGTTCCCCAGACTCTGGCAGTCTGCAACAGTGCCACTCATTTCTGCCTTGAAATTAAGCCACACATGTATGTGTGCACAACACTGAGACATACGACTGACATACAATCACGTGTTTGCTAAAGATTAAGGGCTGCTTTCCTTCAACCCCTAACAGTGTAGCGTCTTGTCCAGATGTTCCATCAAAGCAGAGTATGCTACAAACACGAGGAAAATGCCCAGTGCAACAGTTTGAATGATGCTGTGGAGTTGACTGGGTAGACCACACATGCTCTATGCATTTCCTTTAATAGATAATTTGTTCTTTTGCTTGGTCTAGTGTACCGCACTATTCACATGCTTCAGCTTAGTTCTTATTTTTAAACGTGTTGTTTTGCCTGGAACAGAAAGATGGACATTGAGACGTAGCTGAGAGGCAACAGCTTGCCTTACTAACAGCAGGTGCACAGTGCAGAGAGGCACTGTGTGAATCCAGCCTTAACACAACCCTGGGGTCGGAACACTTGATCTGCGTCATTCGGTGGCCGCTGGAATCCCTCTGGTTTTCACTTCGCCTTTTCAAACAGGCATGTTTAACTCCCAGGGTGTGTTAGCTTATATATTCCAAGTAATTTTGTCTATTTCGCTTATGTTTGTTTTATTATTTCTGCAGGTTGCTGGTTTACTAATTACAGTGTTCCTCATAATTCTTCCATTTAGTATTCAAACCTAATGTGAATACTGACTGCTGGTAGTATTCGTGTGTAGATTCAAGCTGTTTTGGCCCCTTTGTGTGCACTATTATTGTCAGATGTGTGGAAAAAAGAATTCCACAAAGAAATGTTCACATTCCATAAAGCTAAACTGTTCTTCCCGACATGTTAATAACAATTGTTAAACCAGATATATGTAGAAATTAGTCACATTTAGGGCTTTTGACACATCAATGCTATTTAGTGACAAACTCACTATTGAATCTCCTGCGTCAGTGCAAAGAGGAAGCTTTGAATTGCTTGACAGATGCTTTCAAGCGATCACACCTCTCTCTGTCGTGACTTATGTCATGAAGTTTGCCCTTTAAGGAAATGTTGATGTCAGCTCCTCTGAAATGAGAGAGGCGTCTGTCAGATTGAATCATGGGATATTTCCCAGTACTTATTGTATCCAGGGGATTCCTGGATGTTGAAAATATAGTTTGCATGCTCTGCTTTTTGTAGAGCCCTTTTTCTTTTTTTACAGTTATCTGCATTCGACCGTCTTCTGCTGAATCACAGAATAGTTTTATCTCCATCTGTGTTTTGCACTCTTTTCTGTGTCTTAGGAAATGTTACGTGGACATATCAGATTGTCAGATGAGTGTTGTGGGCCGTGGGATCATTAAATGGCGTCATGATTACAAAGCACTTACTGTACTATACTGGAGTCCGCCTCTTTATGTTGTAAAAAGAGGCATCTCCTCAGCTGAAGCTCTTGAGATAATGAATAAAAAACCGCACAGCTGTGTATCCCCCCCCCTTCCCCTTCATGTCCGGTCCTGCAACATCTCGTCCTGTTTGCCGCTCAACTCTTTATATTTGTTCTTTTGCGATCTGTTATGCCATCTTTGTTTTTCTGTTGTCGATATCTCTTGTCCTCGTTCACATTTTGCAGCTCCCTCCTCTCCCTCTCCGTCTGTTCTCTATACCTTTTTTTTTGTTAGACCTGTTAATGCATATGGTCATCAAGAAGCTTTTGTTGTTTTTTTTTTTAAGAGAAATGTTTTGGGGATAAAGAGGCTTGTGCCTTTGTAAAGACAGAATAATAAAGTTTGTACTTTGTTTTATACACATTGGTTTCTACGTGTGAATTTTTATTATTATATTGCTAATAATGACATAACCAGCTGAGGTTCTGGTTGGCTGTCACTTAAGCTGCGCAGTTGATGCACAAGTGTCTATTCCTGATTGGCAGATAGGATTTTAAAGCCCCCTCCCCAGCTCTGCAGCTCATTGCTAAATTAAGATCGACCAACTCCTCTGTGAGTTAAAACGTTCGCTGTGGACGGCGTGTGGCATCTCCTGCCGTCGCCCTCTGACATGTTCACGCCCTCACACTTCTTCAGAAATACCTTGAATGGTTTGGTTTCCAGTGAGGCTCGATCATTCCACATTTTTAATATATCATAGCAGAATTGGCCGGCTGTTTTATAAGCAACAGTCACCAATGTGATTACTGTGGAGTTCATTTAGGACCATACACGTGGGAAATGTAACAATCAGGGATAGAAGTGACATCATGCAAAGAAAGAATAGTTGTGACAAGAGAATATAGACAGACATTCAAAGCTCCACTGTAGAATACATTGATAAAGAACATGGAAACACAAAGTAATAGAGACCAGCTTCTTAAATGGTTATAATGTCAAGAGATTATTTTATTAGGATATGTTAACTTTAAATAGCACTGATGACTGAGGTTTGACTACAGTACATCTTCTGAGGTTTCAGGGGAAGCTTTATGGTCTGGGTTTGTGCATCAGTTGTGTGAAGTGTGCTACAACGTTCCCCGTCACAGTTTGGTTTTGTAGGTCAACTACTACTGAAATGAATGAATCAGAGAGCATAGTGAAGACTGCGCAATTATTCACAGTCCCTCTTATCTCTTCATGTTTTATAAGTTTAACTTCACTCAAACAATCCGACCATCATTAGGGATGATTTCAGCACACCCTCTTGACTTGTTGAAGAAAGCATGAGAGGTTGATCTATGAACTATCATAAACTTATTTTTAAAAATGTGTTACTTTACTTGTTTGATGATTGTATTAGTCATATGGCCTCAACTAGATAAGTCGAGGCTACGTTAATGAAGAAACAAAGAAAAACATGAGAAAAACATGAGAAATCCTTGCTGATGTGGAATACATGTATATGTATGTGTGTGCTTGAATTGATTAAAATGTGATTCCATACTTCCTCCCTACAGCTGCAAAAACATGGATTAGCTTGAGCTTGTAAACACTGAAATGAACTTTCACGTTCTTGAATTAACTGGCTCAAGGCTTCATCAGTCTGTCTTTTCTATGCTGCTTTTTTCCAGAGACAGCTGCATCATTGCTGCAGCAGGCAACTTGAAGGCACAACTTGATCCCAGTGTCGGCCATCTGCAGTCAACAAAAAATCGATGTTCACTATAGAGTTCATTTGCTCGTAAACAAATCTTCATGCCTCTAGAGCAGATCCCAACACCAGTGTAGTTTCTAAGGATTTAAGCAGTTTCATGCTCAAAATGAACATGCTGTGTTGTTTGGACACACCTCCTGAGTCATTCCGGATGAACATGCTTGAATAAGAAACTCCTGCCATATTTGGGGATTAATTTCCAGTTGAGATGTTGATTCCCGAGGAATTGTGAGATTTCGTTCACCACAGTGTCTGCTCGGGTGTGATAAAGCAGTAATCCCCTCCTTGTTCAGCTGTGTTATGGATTCTGGGTCTACTCAGGGGTTTTTATGTTCCAGACGTACCTTCTCCTCTGCCTCCATCCTTCACTCGCTTGCACACACAGTCTTCCGGTGATGACTTTGCCAACATGGCAGCCAAGTGAGCATTGTGCCTTCCCTCCGGAGCAAGGGTCTGACAGCTCGTGCAAATCCCATGCCCTTGTTCGCTTGAAGCATATTTAGTTTGTGGAGAGGAGGCTGTGAAGCATGTTTCACTCCTTGGAAACATCATCATTCTTTGTAATGCCAAGCAGCCATGGTTACTCATTGTTATTCTCTCTCTTTCTCTATTAAATCATGTAATTCTTAATTTACTTTTTCACCATCAATTTGTAAGATGGCATTGTTTATTTTCAGTCTATTTTTTTAATGTTAGGGTTAGGAATGCATTAATTCACTTTCTTAATGATACTTGAATGGCACTCACATTAGCCAAGGCCCAACAGTCCCCTTAAATTCAAATTTCATAAACTCATACATATGAAACATATGAATTCATGAATTCAAAAAATTCATGGATCAGCCCCAAATTTTAATGGCTTATTTCTGCGCCTGTGCCCCATTATTCAAGTTTCATGAAACTGTGTTAAAATCCTGCTGACATACAAACAAACTAGAATGACCCACAGTGGAGCCATGAGAAGAGCACATCGATTCAGATTTTTGGTTTGATCTGCACCAAATTGCACACACACATAACTATCAGTCCCCTAAAAATGCCGTTTTTTTCATCAAGATCCATGAATTATTCTCTGAGAAATATTGTTCAAAAACACGAATCTCCCAATGATAAAGACTGTTAAAAAAATTCATGGATCCCCCACCTGATCTGGATCTGCACCAAACTTTAATGGATTCTTCCTTCCAATGAGAAGGTGTGTGTTTCAACACTGAAAGACAGATCCGGATTTTTGTACACTGTGATGCTGAAGCCTACACTGTGACCTCTCTAAAACAGGAGAACCAGCTGCTTGCACATGTACAGGGTCCCTGTGGCATGCGATGACTCCTCCAACACCTTAGACACACAGCTCTGAGCCTCCCGTACCAGCTGACCCTCTCTTTGCCCCGCCTCTCCTCCCTGCGTGCCCTTTAACCTTCCTGCCTTGGTATATATAGTCTGAGTGACTATCAGAGTTCTCCTGGCAGCCATCATGAAGGGTACAGTCTCGATCTGCTGTCTCCTCTCCCTGCTGCTTTTGCAGGCCACAGCAGGTAAGAGGCACTTGGGTGAAGTATCCAGCAGTTTTATGGTAAATTGGTGCACCGAGGGCACGAGATATGCTTGTTCTGCTAATGAATGAAAACACTGACATGATGTGGGTCTATTGGTTCAATGAACGTGCTGTTGGCATACTTGATTGCTCTGTTGGCTTGATCATACGACAGTTGTGATTTAGGCTGTTGAAGTAATAAGTAATGAGCTGATCAAAAGTAGCACAGATGGATTCTTAAATCGGTTGTGGAGGCAACTTAGTCAGAAATGGTGCTGACTTCTGGAGGCAGAGTAAAGAGGGACAGTGACAGTTATGGGGACACCAACCGAGGATAGACACAGACAGCGACAGGGAGACTATTTCAAATCTTTCCCAGTTTATAATTAAACTGTTGTCACCCAATACAATGATGGATTTAACTTGCTCTCTCTCTCGTCTTTTTGGTTGTTAAAATCCACATAAACACACACATGCCTTAAGTGAATGACATTTTTAATGCATGAACAAGTGACTTCTCCCAATTCTGGTGAGTTTCCGATGGGAGATCAGTTGAGGATTATTCAAGATAGAGTTCAGCCTCTTCTGTGACAGCGTGTCAGCTGTCCTAATGCATGACACCAGCTGATGGAAAGTCCTACTCAATCAAGGAAAGCCAAGCTGGAGCTTCAATGCAGCTTTTCAGCTTTCATTGGTTTGGTCTCCTTTTGAATTTCATCCTCTAAGGAAGAGTTACTTTAGGTCAGAAATTCCTATATTTCCTGAAATGATATTCCAGAGTATCATCAAGTACAGATATCCTGCAATAAATATGATATACAGAGAACCCATGGTGACTGTCATACTGACCACAGCTTCTCTTTGACCAATCATTCTGAAATTGTGGCCTGGTCTGTGCTTCTGGACCGGAATCGTTTGGCATTACCCTTGTCTGTCACCCTTGTCTGTCCTTGGGGGTGGTGTTCAGCTTCACAACCCGAGGCCAAGCCTCCATATTCCAGGCTGCTGTCAGGAGTCTAAGATTGGATGGCCTCCTGAAACCCAACACTGTCCACTACAGTACCTCCCTCCATTCGACTCCCCTTCCCTCCTGACTCCTCACCCCTCTCAGCCCCATGCATCCCTTTGGATACACTGCACAGCTGCTGCCACTCTGCACTGTCACAATCACAATTTATTCCCAGCAGTTGCCCTTATAGGGACATGCATTCTCCAGGCAGGAGGGGCTGGGCTGTGGCTGCAACTTATGGCTTTACAGTCCCCGTCTGCAGGCCAATGCAGGTGTATTTTGGTGGTTTATGTCTTTAAATCTTCCCTGCATTATGTGTTCTGATTATGTTCCTGCAGAGAATGCAAGTTTTAACACCTGTATGTTATGAGAAACATGAACTCCTTGCCACTCAGTGTGTAATTATTTGTGTTATTGATTCCTTCGATCTAACTCTGCACTGCAGAGGGAGCAGAAAGGGTAATCTCCTTCTAAAGGAATGTGAAATCGATTCGCTATCATTTTCTCACAGGTTGTCTAACTGCCCTGCATGGGCAGGGATAGATCTCTAATCCTAAAGTCGGGATGTTACCACTGAACATGACACTGTTGTTTTATAGATTCTCTCTATACTAGAGAGTCTAGAAAAAGCTGAAAGCAGCAGCAGAGCAGTGTCATGATAATCTGTGATGTTGTGAAATCTTAACCTCACAACTGTCTCATGCCTGTCCTTCAAAATATGGACAAAAGCCAGTTCATTATGTCACAGTAAATACTTTTAGAATATACTTCACCACAGAATACAGGCACTTGAATGCAATTGGTAACCAATTCCAATAAATTACTCAAAGTGTGTAACATACTTCAAATACTTCAGCATCGTCTTACATTAATATTGCAACCAAAACGAATGATACACTCACACAATACTGCTCTTTTAAGTAGCAAAAACATGGAGACCCAATTTTCCTTGATATTTGAAAAAATAATTATAATTAAAACTTGGTGTTACATTAAAAGTGGCATCAGAACAGGCAAATTTAGCAAAATGTGCAACTCTGCCCAGAGCATGGACGCTAACTCATACACTGAAATGGTGTCGTTTTTTGACAGTTGTTTAAATGCTCCCAGACACATAGTAGGCTACATGTACACATCATGCATGGTGTAAATTGGATGATCTCCAATCTCGTCTGTTAAATTAATCTGTTTAGCAAGCTAGCTATTCTATGACAATGCTAACGGTCTGAAGTCAGCTCGCAATTCAGCTAAGTACTTAGCTCACTAATTTGACCAGAAAATGCAGACTGCATTCTGATTGGCACCTATGAAAAGTGTAATAGTTACTTATATTCATATATTCTCTGTATTTCATTACTCCGCATCAAGGTTAATGCATTGACAGTTTTTTCGAACTGTTTACATTTGGACCTGGCTTTGGACATTACCGGCAGCATAAGGGATTATTTGTAAAATAAAAGCTTTGCTGTCATCATGTCATCATCTGTATAAATTGGCATCATTAGATTTGAGTTTAACTGAGTTTTGGATAGTTCACCTGGTTCGACCATTTCCTGCATTTCACTACCTGCAGGCGTTAAAAAGCTTCAATTTTCATTGACGAATGTAAAGAACACGTGTTTTACAGCAGCCTCACTTCCAGTGTATTACATGGGTCTCACACCGGTCAGTGTTGGCATGCAATGGAAAACACGGGTCACTATAGTAACTATATGGTTATTATAAGGTTGCTAGAAACCCTACACTAACCAGGTGTTGTGTAAATGGCTCTGGCTGACCAAACGAGGACTGAATATATGCTCAGTGTCTAATATCATACATGGGGTTTGAGATGAAAGGGGCTTCAGACACTTGCTAATCCAAAATAAAAATATCATCAGTGCAAATGTAATTACGGAATATAGCTACAATGCACACAGAAAACTGTGAAAAATGTGTACTTGCATTGCTATATGCAATATATTTAGTTTTGGATGTACAAATATCTCACAGCCTCTAGAGGCCCTTGATTACTTCTTAACACCAGTGTGTTTATACTGAGTGGTAATACTAACCATCCTCAATACAGTAAAAACATATTTGGCCTCGTGACTTTGCAGGAGGGAAGACATGGAAAATTAAAGGGGCACTGTCGCCACGTGAACCCCTGTGATGGCATGTGGCATGTCTGGGACACCCCTCTGATGGATGTAGTAGAGGGGACACGCCAGTCATCCTCAACTGCTATACTACACACTGCTGCTTAAGACAAGCCCCCGTAGTTCCAAGGGCACCTGACGTCCTTTTCCTGGCTTTCAAACAGGAGAGCAGGGATAGAGGCACCAGATCAACACCTCAGCGTAAAGTACCTTTGCCCTTGTGCATTTCTTTGAGCCCTGACGTCGCTCCACTTCATCCCTAGCTGTCAGTAACCCCAATGGAGGATGTAGAATCTGGACAAGGCTCACATAAGATAGTCTGTGATGGAATCAGTGTTGTTTTTTTTTACTGTCAAATTAAATGCACCAGAATGGGGCATAGTTTGAAAGTGATAATACTTTTGATTGAGCTAAATTTCTTGTGCAGAACTCTGGAGAAAACCTTAATACACTGGCAAGTATCAGCCTTACATGTGAAACTTACATTAGTTCTCCTGGTACAGTAGAACACAGTCATCTCTGTGTGATGTGGATGTCTACGAGTCTCCAGACTGACAAACAGTCAAAGCCTTAAAATAGGAGGCAGCATGCTGCCCCCACCTCTGTCCATTATGGGGCTATTCCTGACTATGGGGGAGTTCTAGTTCCACAAGCTGTTGCACCTGTTGCCATATGTGGCCTCTTCTCACCACACCCTGCACATGCTCTGCTGACTCCTCTCATACCTCTGACCCTTTCTGGAGGAAAGTTATGTGCCTTTTTTTGGCGTTATGCATTTCTCATTTATTTTGAGTAGATTAGGTTTAGTTTTTGGAGAAGTGGACGGGATGTCCAGATGAAGTCGTCTTATGTTAATGTGGTTATATAAAAATCCTGCCAGCCATTTAAATTTGAGTGCATTTGATGCCTCTCCACAGATCTTTCCAGTGGAACCCCTTGGCCTTCAGTTAAGGTTGCCTCAATCCCCCGTGCTCAGGATAAATCCTCTGACTGGGGGCTCCAGGCCTGCTGCCCTCATCATGTTCAGTTTAATTCAATTTACCTCCACTGTGCTGCAAGAAGAACATGATCCTGGGGCTTTACACAGATACCTAATATACTGCAGATACATTCCAGCACACACATATACCTGCAAGAGAACATAATATCTGGGGTATTCCTTGGCTGTATGCTTTGAGTGAAAAAATATAATACAGATAATTTTAGATTAACTGCGATACTGGTTTTAGGTTTGTGCCGATTATTTAAAATCATGCAGGCATGTGCATATCAACTATGATTTTTAACACATCCCTTTAGTTACAATGTGTGTACATGTATTAATCTGTGTATTGAAATTGAAATATCTGTGTAAGTAAACCAGAGAAGAGTCTTAAAAGAGCATGTATGAGTTTTGCACTTGCAGCTGTTGATTGATTCTGATGTTGGAATAGCCACCATGTTAACATCTATAGTTGAGGCATGACTTACCCCACCGCTGAGGCCGTGATAGGCTTAAATCGCCAACATTCCTGCTGGATGTGCCGATGCCGCCAGAATGTTTCTCCAAACTGAGGGAGGGTTGTGTGGCAACGGGCTCAGGGAGGACACATGGTCCCGGGCGCAGATGTCTGGGGTTCAACTCCCATGGCGCCTGCAGGGTTAATTTTGAGCACTGATGCAAGGCTTGCCGTCCGCGGGCAACACTACCTCTCTGATCTTTGCGGAGTTCTGTCCCAGGGCCTCCATCAGGGATTGACTGGATTGGAAGGTGTTAACAAGTTCACAGCAGTTAAGGCCCACTCAAGAGGCCAGTGTTAAAAGACACAACTCTTCTGACTGATGAGTCAAGTTACAGGAGCTTGATGACGCTTTGTGTGCTGAATGGAAAAGACCAGTTCATTGAGAAGATATAGATTTGATTCTCAAAAGCCACTCCAGCCTCCAAGTTGAGTCATTTGACGGGAGACTTCTCTCTTTTTCTTTGCCTCCTCTTTCTTTTGTAATTGATTGCATCCTGTGTCAAATCTTTACCCACTGAGATATGCAGCAAACCTGCGTGCGAGTGTCAGATTTGCTAAAAGGCATCCATGCGTCACAGATTGTGTTACAAGGTGTTGTAGCTTTTTGTTTCCTCTTCAGGTCAACAGCTGCTTTGCACAGGCACGTGGCAATCAGCTGACTTTAAACTCCTTTATTGCTTTTAAGTTTATTTTCCAATTTGAACTGCTTCATTACATATTTCACTAAGGAAAAAAAAGCTCCCATTTCTCTGGCATTATTGTAACACTCCTTGCTGCTTTGGGAAATGTGTGTATAAAACAAAACACGTAGCCTATTATATCCAAAACATAGATACTGTATAAATTTAGATCCTTTTAGGCATTGTTGCATTACTCATACCCTTCTTTTATTTTGGCTGCTAACCTTTTGGTTTCTCTTGTTCTTGCACCGTGCTGGGAGCCACATTACATAGGTTTATTTTTAGCAGGTTGACTTGGAGAGAATCGTCGGTGCTGCGTTGTTCCTCCGGCAAAGGACCAACTGCTGTGTGTCTCAGTTGAAGCCTTGGCGATACGATATGTTAATGTTGTGTGAATGAGTGGGACCTACGGATTGTTTAAAATACACGTGGGTTATCAATATGAACACATTTGCGTCAGGTTTGTATGTAAAGAGCCTTAGGATGATTTTACTTGTCATTTGATGCACTGTTGGTTTCGGCCAACACGACGTGCCATTCTGACTCTTGGCCAGAAACACTAGAAGTCACTGACAACGTGGCCTGTGGGTGTTCTCCAGGTTACGGTGCAGGATTCTCTTATTGATATACAAGCTGGGTCTGAATTCAGGGGCTGCCTCCTTCGGGGGGCCACAATGATTGCAAACACCGAACTGAAATGAGATGGCCTGGTCTACAGAGGATTTCATCAGATTTACAGAGTCCCACCCTTGTTGCTATTAATCACAGGCATCCACTGGTTGGAGCCTTCATTTCTTGGGGATGGAAGGACGCATTTGTAGGGCCGTGTGGTCGCACCATTGTGACAAAATCTTGAAAATGCAGCCTCCTAAAGATGCAGATGCTGAATTGAGACACAGATACAGTTTAGTGGGGTTTTGGAGAGTATATAGCTGAGTGTGTCTAGGAATATTTAGGTCACCCTCTTTATCCAGAAACTGCTTTTCACCTGGACCTTCTCATAACCCTGCCAATATTTACGAGCAAAATACCCCCTGCATTAAAGCAAAAACTATCCCTAGTAGTGCCAGACCAGGCCAGACTGGTCATGTGTAAATTGTCACATCTGGTGTACTGCCAGCAGTGTAGACAAGAATGATCAAATTTTTCTTCCTTTAACTTGTGTCATTTGCAGTCGCAACCCAATGGAAACGTTTTTCCGTCCCCCACCAGGTGCTTGTGCTCTCCACCAGTCTGCTTTTGATTCGTGAGTATTGCACAAAGCGCCCAGACGTTACCTGGGCTCAGCAGGATCTTTGCCAGTCACCTGCTGAGATCAGAGGGCTGCGCTTTGGGCAAGAGCTCCAGCTTTTCACACACTCTGTGATCCTGTGTGCAGGTCCCTTCATCTGAACACTTAGACCTAGACAGTGGCAATGTTGATTTTTCTTGGGTCAGATTTTAGTGAAGAACGTCAGTATTCTTATTTTGTGTGAACTATGTTTCCTGTGCCAGTGAATTTAATGTAGCTGGGCTGTGTTCACAGAAAGTCTTTATATAACAACACCAGTATTCAGATTATGGCATGTGTCTTACAACTGAATTACTGCAGTTTATCACCTCGCAGAAGAAGAATATCTGATTCAGTATTCCCCAAACGTGTTGTTAACAACACAGCCTACATTTTCATAACAACTCTATAAGGGGAGCAACTGGTACCTTAAGTACTAAGGTCCTTACCTCCACCACCACCATCACTAGCACTCCAAGGAAGAATAAAGTGCTCATATATGCAGTTCAAAGCCACAGCAGGTTTTGTCTGTGTGGGAGGTGTTACAGTGAGGCCTGATCTGAGGCCAGGGCACACAAGGACACACCTCACAGCAGCATAAGTCTGTGATAGGCGGATAAATATGGAGGAGAAAAGACAGAGGACTGCACATCAGAGTCTCATGTATAATACTGATGGGAACGCTGAGATCTCCACCCTGTCCATTATGACACTGGGGAAGTCCCCCTCTCTGTCTGTCTCTCTTGTCTTTGCTGTTGCTATAAGGCCATGGTGATGTCCAACAAATGTCTTTGTGTGTTTATTTTCGGCCCTCGCTTTCTATATTAAGAGCTGATCGTACAAACAGCTGTGATCTAAGCAATCTGATATGTGGACATGACACAGTGGTGAGCGGATATGTTCTCTTGGGTTCACACACACACACACACGTCAAGTTTGTGCTATCATGTTTCAGGCTAAAGGACGTCTGCAGCAGAACTATTTGTTATTCTCCCCAAATGTTTTATGGGTGCTGTGATGAAGTAAACACTCTGAAGGTTTGGTATTTACCATGTCAACAAGACAAAGAGATAGGTTGAAGAGAAGACAGAAGAAAAGACAAGGTAGACGCAGCATTCAGAGTGCAATGAATTCAAGGCTCAGTTTGCAAACATTTCACTGTGAAATATCAGTTCAAATGTCTGAAACTGATGTTGGCATCCAGTGCAAAACTATCATGGATCTAGAGATCGATCCAGAAATAGCAGCCTGGCTGGTCTCAGTAGCAAAGCTGTAGTTTGCACCAATTCTGTCATCTTCTATTATTCCTTAAACAGTGAATTAAAGACACACACTTGAACTTGAAGTAAAAAAATTTTAAATGTTGTTTTCACAGAAGAAGAAGATATCACCTCTGTCCTCAGAGACAAATCTCACATCGACGAGACGTTGCGGCTCGCAACTGAGGAAAAATCAAGAGACTATGCAGGTGAGGATCAAGGATGATTCAATAGATGTAGTTTTCTTTTGTGAAGCTTAGTGCTCAGAATGATGAAATGATATATAATCAATAAAGAATGTTGGAGCTGCAGAATGCTGTGATTTCCTTTAATTCCCTTTCTACGCTAGATCAATTATGCAACACATGATCTCGGAAGGTGGGAGCGATGATAAAAGATGAATATGTGAAAGATGTAATGTATCCATTTAAAGGGATAATAGGGCAAAAAGGCTAGGAACTCTTCAGCTAGACTATTAAAAAGTAAGACATCTACCACCTTGTGCCTCTTCTTTAAAACATCTTTGTCATCTTGTCCTCCAGCGGCTCTGGAGAGGTTGCGGAAGATCTACCACACGTCCATCAAGCCGATGGAGCAGGCCTACAAGTACAACGAGCTGAGGCAGCACGAGATCTCAGGTACCACGCGGAGGAATCGGCTGTGTCTGCTCGGTTGTCTGTTTGTGTTGCTTTTGTGACTGATGTGTCGACCTTTTTTTGTACATGTCACACACATCATCCTCACACCATTATAGTACAGTAGTGCCTTCAAAGGTTATTTGCAGGCTGCAGAGCAGAACAATTTTAAATAAATAATCATATCTACTTCAATTTACAGCACAAATTACAATAAACATAAAAGGTATATTATCTTTATGTCTTGGCCACTCCATTGATGCCACCCATTAAAAATATTTCTACCCCTTTTCTTCTCTTTCTGGTATTTCTGTAACGTCCCTGGTTAATTTTTAAATGACTCAGCACAGTTCATGTCTCTAAACTGCACACTGAACTCTTCTTTCCCACAATGCAATGAAGCTCGCCCTCTTGTGGCTTCTCAGGCTCAGCAGTCATGCACACTTGTCACATACAACCACTGGGAAGCCTCTAAACAAACACGGATTTATTATCGTATTCACCTCATCACTTCAACACATGCACACCATCCATTTGCAGGTGGTGTTTGACACATTAGGTAGATATGGGACAACATTTTCAGAGAAGACCCGTCACCCATTATTATACCACCCTTTCCCTGTTGCTCATAGAAACCTCACTCCCTCACTTAGCTCTCCTCACTCTCATCCACCTCCTGTTCCCTTCACTCCTCTGTGCTCCACCCTCCCTCTCCTGTCCTCCTCCCCCCCTCAACTCCACCCCCTCGTCTAACAGCCTACCCCGGACGAACCCTGGGTGACTCAGCCACAGGTGGGTTGCGGGCGATGGGGCTTACCTGTGCATGGCACTGGCTGAAAGTGCTCAGCCCCTTCCTCTCCTCCCCTCCCTCCTCTCCCTTCATATGTCCATTTGTGATGTAAAGAGGACACAGCTCTCTGTGGGTCAGACATTACAAGCATGCTTCACTTTAGGTGACACGACTGATACTGATACAGAGCAGCGGTTTTTATCTGAATCAAAAGGGATTTGACTCTTTTTTGATTTACTCATTTAAAATTATAAAACAATTGTAAAGAATGAAAAGGGGAGAAATGTCAATTACAAAAATTTGGTGCAAAAATAAAAGACTTTAAGCTTGGTTGTGTCTAGGCAGCGTATGTACAGTATTTAAACAGCGACTGAGCATTAAGTTGAGGGTGTCAAATGTAAAACATGGAGGGGGGTGCATGTGCAGTTCTGGCTCTAGTAAAGGACACAGGTATGATGAGGGGACACTATTGGGAAAGGGTGGTCAGTGTTCAGCTGAGAGTGAATCGACTTTCTTTCACTTTGTTCTTTATTTTAAAAAACATTTATAAAACCACGAGGATCAGGAACAGCTAATGGTTTTTAATTCTTTCTTTCTTTCTCTCTTTTTCATTTCTTTTCCTCATCATCATTTTAATCCATTCATAAGGCGATAAGAAAACGTTCTGGTTTCTTCCCACCCGGACATCATGTTCCCATCACAACACACGGCAGCTTGCTATGGGACACACACACACAGTTTGTTTGCTTTGTTGTGTGTCCCTGAAACATGGCTGCAGCATCTCATTGAGCATTCTTTCCTGCTTCTAAACAAGCCTAACAAGTTTTTCTTTGGCTATTTTTTTAATTCATTTGCTACAAAAAGAAAACTTTCCCTGTGCTCTGGATTAAGATTGAAAGTGCTGATGTGTTCCTTAGAGTCTCTTAATTTTGAATATTATAGTAAATTATTGTTTACCCCAGGATACATTATGGATGAATACATTTTTTGAGACACAAAAGGAAGACTGCACCAAAGAGTTTTGGTACAATTTTCCTATCTGCAGCAAATTATAATCTCAACATATTTTTTCCACCCAAAATCTATTATAAATTTGAAAGGTTCTTTGTCATGATTTAACCATCTTGTTGAGGTTTTAATCATTGTTGTTTCTCCCCTTTCAACAGATGGAGAGATTACCTCCAAACCCATGGTGCTCTTCCTGGGACCTTGGAGCGTAGGAAAGTCCTCCATGATTAATTACCTCCTGGGCTTGAACGACAGCCCCTATCAGCTCTACACAGGTATGTTGCACACAGTTTTTATTTTAGCATGAAAGAAAGCACTCAGTAGAGTGCATAGCTCTGTCAGGGCTCAACATTCCCCTCATGAATTTAAATTCATCAAAATCCAAATTTTTATTTGGCTCTGCACCGAAATGCACACTCTTATAAGTATCAGTCTCTTAAACATGTTTGATTGTTTTCATCAAGATCCACAAATTATTCTCTGAGGAATGAATGAAAATGTGGGAAAGTGCTTTATCTCACGATGTATGAAATACAGACACTATCAATGGATTTTGTTGAAGTAGATTCTTGACGTCAGATGGAGGCTGAACAGTGATTTCTGTTCTTCTGTCCAGTTTTATCTCTTGCTGTCCCTGTTCTTGTTAACGTATCCCTCTGTTTCTCCCTTGGTTTGTTTTCAGGAGCCGAGCCTACTACCTCTGAGTTCACTGTTATTATGCACGGGGAGAAGATCCGCTCAGTTGAGGGTATTGTGATGGCAGCCGACAGCTCTCGCTCTTTCTCGCCCCTGGAGAAATTTGGCCAAAACTTCCTGGAAAAGCTGATCGGCATTGAGATGCCCCACAAGCTGCTGGAGCGTGTGACTTTTGTGGACACGCCGGGAATCATTGAGAACCGCAAGCAGCAGGAGAGAGGTGAAGCAGCAACGTAACACAGATCAAATACAAAGCAGATGGGTGCAAGTCAGTATTAGTGCAGTTTTTTATTTCTCTTCTTCTGCCCAGGTTATCCTTTCAACGATGTTTGCCAGTGGTTCATTGACCGTGCTGACCTGATCTTCGTCGTGTTTGACCCCACCAAGCTGGATGTGGGCCTGGAGCTGGAGATGCTCTTCCGACAGTTGAAGGGTCGCGAGTCCCAGATCCGTATCATCCTGAACAAAGCTGACAACCTGGCCACCCAGGACTTAATGAGAGTCTATGGAGCACTCTTTTGGAGCTTGGCTCCCCTCATCAATGTGACCGAACCCCCCCGCGTCTACGTCAGCTCCTTTTGGCCATATGACTACGCACCTGACACCAGTCGCGAGCTCTTCAAGCGAGAGGAAATCTCCCTTCTGGAAGATTTGAACCAGGTGATTGAAAACCGCATGGAGAACAAGATTGCCTTCATCCGCCAGCATGGCATCCGTGTGCGCATCCATGGCCTGCTGGTGGACCGCTATGTCCAGACCTTTAAAGAAAAGATGAGCTTCTTCAGCGACCCTGAACTCGTGTTCAAGGAGATTGTGGACGACCCAGACAAGTTCTACATTTTCAAATCCATTCTAGCCAAGACCAACGTCAGCAAGTTCGACCTGCCCAACCGCGACGCTTACCGTGACTTCTTTGGCATCAACCCAATCACCAACTTCAAACCCTTGTCGTCTCAGTGCTCCTACATAGGAGGCTGTCTGCTGGACAAGATTGAGAAGGCCATCACCAATGAGCTGCCCGCTCTACTGAGCAGCATTAACTCTGGCAAACAGCCCGGCCTGTCCTCCTGCGAGGCAACCGGCTGTGGTGAGAAGCCAAAGAACCGCTATCGGAAGAACTGAGGAACACAAAATAACTTAAGTGGGGGAAGTAAAGGGAGAGGAGGTGGAGAGAAGGGGTCTGGCGGAAGCCAACCCTGCTTTTGTCAGAATGCCTGTATTGTTGAGGAGACAGAGGAGAGAGGATTAGTGTTTGTTTTTTTTTCCTCAGGAAAATATGGGGATGTGCATTTAGGCCCTGTGGGAATGAGGAGTGGGAAGGAAGAGTAATTGTGTAATAAGGCAACTTAAGGACACAAGTGCTGACGAAATGAGAACAGGTCACTGGTCACTGAGTTTTTGTTGAAACACACGCCCTCCTCTCTCCCTTGCACAAGCACAGTGGACTGCCTGGGATTTTGGGGGATGAGGAAGTAAATGATGTGAAGAAAAACATATAAGTACAATCAAATAAAAAAATTTAAATCCTCAGACTGAAAAAGTCAAATACCAGCTCCCTTGTATGTGAATAAAATGGGAAAGTGGAAATATCAAAGTTGCAAATTTGTGTTGTAAAATCTTGAGAATTGCGTTGCAGGAGGTCAATTCCATTTGCTTCAGAAGGTGATTTTGAAGTAGCCTTTTGTGTGGGTGCTATACAAAGCCTTTGTCTTTGGGTGCTCTTCCAAACTCTTGACATAGATTAACATTAATGTTGCATGTTAGACGTCACATCTTACTTATCAGATGCATGTATATTCCCTCTAACAAACTCAACCCTGAACCAGCACGGCCATGCAAGGCCTTTTATATTTCTTAGTTTTATTCGCTCATCAGTCTTGGTTGTTGACAACCAGTGAAATGAGCACCGTGATGGAAGCAGAGGTCAGGGTTCAAGGGTCAGAGAGTCTTCAGAGTGGGATGGATAATTTCATTCTGCTTCACTTCTTAACTCCTCTTACTGTTTCCGAGTGCATCTATAAATTTGCCAGTCTTTGGCAGAAATTCAATAAGGAATAACTTTTTTCCTTCAATGATAAGCTTCCCAGCATTTTTTAAGCTGAACGACCATAATAGCGACACATGAGGATGTGTTTGAATCACAGCTATCTGTATCTATTTGTTTTTGCCATTTCTTTTGCAGGTTAGAAATATATTTATTGATTTGTTTTATGTGTAAACTTCTCAAATGGGCATTGAAGCAGGCTGCGTCTGCGTGCTGAACAAACCTTCACTGTAAGATTGTGATAGCGGACCTCTGATAATGGATTTTGTAGCTTGCAAAAAAACTAAAAAAACTAAAAAACGGAGGGCTTGAGGTAATTGAGAGGACATGGCGAAGTGGAAGACCCACAAGTTGACCCCTGACCTCTGTGGAAAGAAGCATGCTCAAAATACTGATCCCTATGTCTTTGGAGTGATACACGTCAAAGCTGCAATTTCTTACGTGAGCCTACCTCAGTGAACTTCCCAGGAGTATGGCACGGCCAAATCGTTCAAAATAGTTTGACATTAAGGGAAAACACACTTATTTAAGCCGCCAAAGTCACTTTTTGGAGTCTGATGTTTGTTGGCAACCTGCAGAGACTCCAGGAAGATTCTTTGCCTGGCAAGAAATAGTCAATTCCCCAAATGACCACTGTACTGCATTGAAACTACCCTTTCTGTTTGATGTCAGCAAACAAGGTATGATGTATTCATTTTGGAGCTGTAGACCTGCAGGTAGGTGGACTTCAGTTCCCTCTTGACAGACTCTGGCTAACTGTTTCCCCTTGTTTACAGTCTTTATGCTAAGCTAGGCTAACCAGCTGCTCTGGCAGAATATTTAGAGAAACTTCATGTACCATGACCTGGATGACGGCGAACCTTCGCAGATTCAGAGCTGAAGTCTACCAAAATGACAAACCGCTGCTTGAAATCTCAAGTCAGTCAAGGGAGAGGTAGGTGGTAACAACACCTTCCGTTCCCTCTTCGTCTTCCCTCACTATCCCCCATAGTGCAGAATGTTTTATTATCTCAAATCTGAAGCATCATGGAGCCGAAAAGAAAACGACCTGACAGACAAACCCCACTGAAGCTCACATTTGCTTAATTCCCTGTGTTTCGCTGAGTGTTTGTGCGTTCCACTGGATGTGTTTGTTAAATTTACAATGCAGATCCAGGACATGCCCACTAGAGAGTGCTGTGTAAAAGTGTAAAAAGTTATAAATGCAGACCATTGACTAACACTTCTAATAGCAACAGTCTTCAGTGACTGACAAGCTTGGCCTTATGAAATTGTGTGGTTGTGCTTTTTGGTATAGTTCAGTTTCAATTATCTTATTTTCCTGTGAATTAATTCTGGCCTGGATGTGTGTCTCATTACAGAAGTTGTTGGTTCACTTTTTTTTTTGTTTTGCTATAAAATTTTAATTAATCTTTGCCCAATTCTTTTGGAAGCTTTATCAAGAAGAATAAAGATTTGTTGATTGACTAGGGAATGAAACTTTGTGGTTATTCTGATAAAACCATCCAACCTTCATCAAAGGGGTAAAAAAGAGGGTTCAAACTTGTACCAGGATGATCCTTTTACACTTTATATCTTCCTCACATTCATGTTTCATTCAGTTTCTTTTCTTTCTCTTTCTCCCCAAGAATCTTAACATCTCTCTCACTAATGGGTTGGAACGGGAAAGGGGGAAGTTTTTTTTCCTGTAGCTGCATTGCACCAACAGTTTGTCGTGACAGGAGATGGAGAGGGGTGTGTGTGAGTGTGTATGTTTGATAAGACAAGATGAGATAAGATATGATAAGATAAGACAGTTGCACAGGATAACTGCACACAACATCATGTCCGCTTTGTGGGCCTGCAGTGTCGGCCAAATCACTGCCAATCAGCACATGGTTTACAGCTCACCTCCTCTCAGCAAGTCGCTCATTCTGCCTCCTCCCTCCAATCCTACGAGATGCAGTATTTTTCTTTCCATCTAGGCCTACTGCTGACAACAGCCGCCATGTAGATTTCATTGGGAGAACTCAACAGAAGATCTCAACGGGGAACAACTGGACTCCTCAACCAGAGAATGGGATGTACTTTGTGGCCTTTCTCTCGTGGGCTTCTTCACAAACCTCCCTCAATGGCACTGTGAGCTCAACCATTATTATTTTATGGTATACTGTGGTGGACCACAACACAATGATTGGATGGAGGGTTGTTTGCACCACCTCTAGGAACAGCAGCCTCCTTTCTACATCAAACTCAGGAGCTGCTGGACCTTTGCAAGAAAACATTTCTGAGATCTTAGACACACACAACACATACACAGTGTTTGCATCAACAAATACACAGATAATAACAGTACATAGAATACTTACAGTGCAGCTGCATGCACACATTAAACATTCAATTTTTCTACCTTTTCCTACACCTACAGAGTCGGTCTTATTTGAAATGTATAGTTTTATACACAAACAATTTCTATGACAATGGCTGTACCCAAAACTCATTTTAAACACATAAATCACACAAATCTAAAAGTGGAGGAAATCGTTTCCCTCCTCTCATAAAGGAAAATCTTTTTGCAGGTCTATTGCAGCAGGGTAGGCACAGGGGATCCTCTCAATATACTGTTAAACTGTGAAGCCACAGTGCTGACTACAGAGAGTGGCTGTTTGATATTTCTCTAAGCCAACTGAGAATAAAGACTGTAAAGCATCAGGAGGTTCTTTATTCAAATATGCAGCACATATCATTTCTGAAAAGTCATTGCACAATCTTGGAGGTGCAGAAATATTGTGTGTAGAATGAATTTATTTAGCTCACACATGTTGATTTAACCAAATAATTCCATTTATTATTATTTTATCCTCTGAAAAAGAACAGTATCCAAGATTTCTATTAAATTAATCGGGAACAAGAGCAATTTAAAGGCCTTTCCGATGACGAGGTCTTTTTATTTCTCTCCTGCTCATCCCTGGACAAATCTTTTAAATCCGTATGAGATAAAATGAACAGAAACGTCCCCACCCTTCCCAGAAATACGTGCTCGCTGCCTCGAGTCTTCTCTCAAGTGTGTGCACGTAACCCCCCCCCTCCCCTCCTCCACATTCCTCCCAGCTTCTCCTCTCTCCGCCTGCCAAACACTCACAGCAGCATCAAGTCCACGGTGACCACCAAAACGGAAGCAGAGAAATGTGTTTTCAAAATAAACTATGCTTAATATGTGATTGGATTATGTTTGAGGCTCAATTTTTCCAGTTCCACGACATGAGGACAATAAATAGCTTATAATTTGTGTTTCAATTGTTAGTTCAATTGAAGTTTTCTCCTCCCAAAATGGTAATACTAACTTTTTGAATGGTGGTATTCTGCAGGAGGTGTAGCCCAGGGGACACACGTGCACACACATACAATGGTGGTGCAATCTTTCAAAAAATCTTTAAATTGAGCCGATAATTGCCACATGTGCTTTCGATGCATATCATTATACTATTCCAAATTACTATAGTAATCTTTGCAATGATAATGAGGGGGGCAACTCTCTCTCTGGACCCCCCCCCTGTCCCCCCACCGTAAAATCCGGCCCTGGTGTAGCCTATCATGTTTCATCCAGTTGGACAAAACATTTCTGTGAAGAAAAGTAGAAAGAAAACAGCTTCCTTCACAACAATCTCAGTGTAGTTAACTTTAGCCCATTGGCAATCTTGAATAAAGAGCAATGACATTTGGCCAAGAGCTTTCTACCGGTGTTTGGCATGTAAGTAATATAAATCCTATACTGTGAAAAGCCGTAGGAGATTACATTTAGGCCAGAAATACATTTACAAAGTTCAGGGACATTTAACATCATGTACTGTATGTGTTGTTTTCATAAATGTATTCTATTTCAGTGTATGGTACTAACACAGGTGCTACAGGAAAGTACTTGTATGCCACTGTAAGGTTTTATTTTGAAAGAAAACAACGGAAATCATTTTAATAGTATTCTGTCGTGCTTCACACACACACACACACACTCTCACTCCTTGAGGCTGGACGCCTGTCAGCGCACAGAAGATGGTGGCAGCTGCCGCCACTGTGTTACCCGCCGCGCCTGGAGAGCGGTGCGCACAACGTTTCGCTCCGGGGTCGACGCTGCCGAGGCGCACGGAAAACAGTCAGATTAGTGTTGAGACAAAATCCATGACACTGTGGACGTTGCAGGGAATAAGAAAAAAAAATCAGGTTGGACAATGCAGCAGCCATAACCCATCATATTAGTCTCGGATCAGAGGGGCAGTCTATTTGGAGGTATGAAGATTTTTTCCCCCTCTTGTGTGATTCAATGAAAGTGGCTGGATCAAGGTAGCACTCTGCTCGGACCCGTGGGACTGTGGTGTGGGGGGGCGTGCAGCGGAGCCGGAGACCATTCAATTAGTCTTCGTCTTCCATTTAGAGGTGGACCAAGCTGCCCAGGGCAAACTTTATTCCGGAGAGAAGGGGAAGGACTGCACGACAGTTGTCTGCGCCAGGCTCCATTCACCCCCCTCCTCAGCTGCCCGGTAGACACAGAACATACAGAGTCACCGGCGTGGTCTGGATATCTGTTTGTTTTCTTTGGCGCTCACCGTGACGATGCGTCGGCTGTGTTTGGTGCGTGCGTGGATCCCAAAGCAATACCGACTCAACACCGAGACGAGGCAGCCGCTTGGTGCATGAGCCCCGGAGGAGCGCGTTTACCCGCTGACACTAAGCTCAACAAACCCAAACATCTTGGTGTGTTTTTACGCACGGCGCCTCGTGCATTTGTCTCCTGCAGACATCCTCCACGAGATCCCAATGTGCGTTTGGAGACTGTGGACACTCCGGAGTGGAAAGCCAGGAAAGCACGGGGCTGTGTGCACGGGAACTGTTGTGATTAGGCCCCGCAGTTAAGCAGTGTGGGGGTATGAATGAAAGCTTTGCTGTCAGCTATTTTGCTCGTGTTCCCGTTATTTGGAGTTGACCTGCGCCTTAAACATGAAAAGTTGACTTATACGAGCAAACAGCAGATTGAAGTCTCCTGAAAACAAAACGCTGCAGAGGATTTGTTTTGAACGTTTGGAAGTTTTCTTTGAGTCCTGCAAACAAGACAGTTTATTTAACTCAACCTCCTCAATAACCCCTTTAAAAGATTTGTTGGCTTTTCCAGCATTTCGTCTCCTCTTACTGCACAGTATTTTGTAATCCTTTTTCACAGGCTTTTTTTTCCAATGAGTGAGACAGTGTGCAGCCGGCAGCTGAGTGGACTTGGACTGAAACAAAGCAGACAGCCAGTGAACCTTGCAGTCTCAAGTGCGTCAAACAGACAAGGACATAGTGGAATGCACGGAGTGACGTCAAGAGAGGCAATAATGAACTGCTCAAACTCTGTGGAAGGTCTGATGGCGTTTCTGTTGCCACTTCACTGCTAACTGAGTGGAATTTTTCTCTCAAAAGGCCTGTTTGTGCTCTAGTTTTTCACTTTTTACATTGACCAGTCATTGCCCTTTACTGTGACCCCATACTTTGCCTTACTTTTTTCTATTCTATGTTGTCTTTGAAAGAGCAACACCCTCTGCAGAGTTTTTGATTTTTGTATAGGTTAAAAAGCAACATGGCATCCCCCCAACATCAACAACTGCTGCCTCAAAACACAGAAGTGAGCTGTGACTCAAGTGGAGATGGAGGCGTCTCAGTGAGGATTGGCAGCAGTGTCCGACACAAGCACGGAGGCGGGCCGCTTGGTTCAATTGGGGGTGGCCTCATCGGGGGTTCCAAGCACTGCAAGTACAGCATCTCCTCGAGTTGCAGCTCTGGGGAGTCTGGAGTCAGGAAGCCAACAGTCAGGAGCTTTCGCACGCACAAGAAGATGCCTCAGCTTTTCGAGAGATCTGCAGGCCATTTCTGGGACCCAAAGTTTGACTCTTCGATCCTGGAGGAGGCCTGCAGAGAACGGTGTTTCCCTCAGACCCAGCGACGCTTCCGCTACGTGCTCCTTTACCTGATTGCAGTTGGCTGCCTCTGGGGCTTGTACTTTGCTGCCAACCCCTCCCGCTGTGACAGGACTGTCTTTCTCCTCCCCACTGCATCCTTCCTCCTTTTCTGTCTCCTTCTCTTCCTCTTAACTTTCACAAAGCTCTACTCACGCTGCTACAATCAAGCATCTCTGCTGCTCATCGTTGTCACATTCATCCTCACGCTGGCCCCCCAGATCCAGACATCAGGCTTCAGGGACCCAGAGACTCCCACACCTACGCTGGATTTAGAAGAGTTCAGTGGCATGGGGCCCACATACAACCTGTCCCATGACAAGCTTGTAGGAGGTGACACCTGGTCCCCCTGTTTATCTCCTGTAGGCACCTTCTCCCTCTGTATCGAAGTTCTTCTGTTGCTGTACAGTGTTCTTCACGTTCGCCTCTATGCTTCTGTCCTGCTCGGCTTATTCTACTCTGTCTTTTTTGAGAGTTTGGGCTGGCTGCACCTGACTCAGGCTGGGGCCAACTGGAGTATTGCTTCCCAATCAGACTGGGATACGCTATGTTGGCTAGGCCCAGCCAAAGCCCTGCTCCACCTCTGCGCCCACGCCATCGGTATCCACCTATTCATCATGTCTGAGGTGCGAACGCGCAGCACCTTCCTGAAGGTGGGACAGGCTATAATGCATGGTAAAGATCTGGAGGTGGAAAAAGCCTTGAAGGAGCGAATGATCCACTCTGTCATGCCCAGAATTGTGGCTGATGAACTGATGAAGCAGGGTGATGAAGAGATGGGTGATAATTCAGTCAAAAGATACTCCACCAGTGGTGCAGCAGCTGCCATCTCCAGTCCCAAAAACAACAAACGCAAGAAAACCTCCATCCCTCGGGGCCAGATTATCTTCAGACCCTTCAACATGAAGCGGATGGAGCCTGTGAGCATCCTGTTTGCAGACATAGTGGGCTTCACGAAAATGTCTGCCAACAAATCTGCTCATGCCCTCGTGGGGCTTCTGAATGACTTGTTTGGACGTTTTGATAGACTGTGTGAGCTCACTGGCTGTGAAAAGATAAGTACATTAGGAGACTGTTACTACTGTGTGGCTGGTTGTCCTGAACCCAGACCGGACCACGCCTACTGCTGTGTGGAGATGGGCCTGGGCATGATCCAAGCTATTGAACAGTTTTGCCAGGAGAAGAGGGAGATGGTGAACATGAGGGTGGGTGTCCACACCGGCACCGTGCTGTGTGGCATCCTGGGCATGAAACGCTTCAAGTTTGATGTTTGGTCAAATGACGTCAACCTGGCCAACCTAATGGAGCAGCTGGGAGTGGCTGGGAAGGTCCACTTATCACAGGCCACTGCAAACTTCCTGGATGACCGCTTCCAGCATGAAGATGCACAGGTCACTGAGAGGATAGGACAGAGTGTGGTGGCTGATCAGCTCAAAGGTAGGTGTTTACATTTTTATATGTCTCATTGTTATGTACTTGCTAGACTTACTTGGCTTACTTCCTAACAAGAATAATATAACTCCAAGGTCAGCAGCAGTTGCCACAAATTGGCTGCAGCAGTGAGAGTTATTGCTGCAATTATACCTCAATGAACCCACAAACTTTGGCATTTTTATGTGCTCAAGTTTATGTCTTGTAATGCTTCTGCCATCCCCAGAGGAATCGACTACTTATGCAATCATATCAGCAGTTGACCCCAAAAGTGGATCAAAACATTATCAGGGGACTATTTGCATCGTTGAAGGACGACACAGGGTTGTAGCGCCACGTATTGCACACAGCACAGATGGGCTGGGGTGTTGGTATTATGTGACTGTGTCCCAGACAGACGCCATCTTCTTTCTCATCCTCTCCCCCACCCGCTATCTGCCCCCTTCTTTGTTCTCTTGTTCAATTACGTTGCCTTCCAGACGTCCTCAATGTGTCCTGTTCTCATAACCTCGCCTCGAACTTCTGGGATTGCTTTACAACTTAATATAACTGTCACCTTCTCTCCATAGAGATATGTCTGCAGTTTTATCTTCTCCTCTCTATCTTGTCCTCTGTTTTCCTCGCCTCTCTTGACTGCAGCTTTTATTTGATGTGTTTATACACATCACTTTAGTTTAACTAAATGTTAGCTTAATGGCTCTTTTCATAATTTGAAGCTTGGTGATCTATTGACACCCTGTGAAGTGACAGTGTCTGACTAATGAATTGCAGATGGTGTACATCTGTCCTTTTTAAATTGACATCCCAGGTTTATTTTGATAGGTTTATTTCTAGGTATGAACTGGTAATTTGCCCAAAATAGCAAATGTAGAAGTGTACCCATTCCTCATTTCTGCAAACAAATTATCAAAAATGTTTGGACTTCACACAGATTTCCTTGAATTGCACCTTGAAATCAGTGCTGTGACCAGTCGAGGACCAAGATCCAGCAAAAGTGCTTTTTGTTTACCAGCCAGCAGGAGTGATTTATGGGCCTCCAGTTTCACCTCATCTCTTAGATTAATGAGTGACTACCACTCTTGCTCGTGCACAGTTTTATTTATTTTTTTATCGTCAGGATAAATGCGTTTCTCGCAGGGTTATCACCCCTTCTCCTTCTCATCTCCTTTCTGGCCTCCATCATGTATTCAGTTCCCCTCCCTAGATTTATCCTCTCCTTGTAGATTTGCTGTGCCAGTGAGAGAGCTGGCTGTCAGGAGAGAGTTGTTCTTCAGTGCTGTAAAATTTCCTCCACTGTCTAGCCCAGTCTGTGTAAATCACTTGGGTAGCACTGCAGCCAGACATGGATCCTGGCTGGGGCAGGTCCCCTCAGAGTGATATTGCTCCAACACACACGCTGATCGCTGTGCAGCTGTCTTCCATGTGTTTTTCGATGTTCTCTATGAGTTAGGACAATGTTTAAATTTTCAAATAGTTTTTGGCTTGTGAGTGTAACAGTTCCAGACTGAGGCTACAGAGTCATGTTTTTGCACACAGCTCATTGGTGCAGAGGAATGTAGAGTGTAACCACTGATGGTCTGTGGTTTGAGCAACAAATGGAGATGTTGTAGCTCAGTTTTCATTCCTGTCAGTGTGGCTGTTGTTTGAGATTAAGTGAGACAAGAGAACTGCTTTGAGGCTCTAAATAATCACTTTTTACTGATCACTTTTTAATCCCAGAATCATTTTCTAACAACTAGATTTTTTTAGTTAATAGAATGTCTAAAAAAACAACGGTACTAAGGACAGAGAAAATAATGATTTTAGCACTATAGCCAGAATTGTTATCTTTTAATTAGCAAATCATTTTTTCAATCTTTCAATGAAACAATTTTATTTTTCATAATTGGTCTCATCTCACCAAAAATGCTGTTAAAATGTTCCCATTAATAAGATTTCTGTTTCTTAATGACATAGAAACAGAAGAAAGCAGCAAATATTTACATCGGAGAAGCTTGAACTGTAAATGTCTTGGTAATTTCTAAATGTTTGAAAGATTAATTTTGTGTTATTTGACAAAACAAGCTTTATTGACTTTTAAAGTCTATTTTCTCACATTTCACACATAATTGAGTGATGAATCAAATAATTTGAAGATAGAAAACAATCAGCAGAAAAATCAATACTAAAGGTTAGTTACAGCCTCATTGTAAACCACAACACATCTTACTGGAGGGATGTAGTGTGAGGATTTTTTCAAAACGGATCACATACCCTGCAAGTCGTGTGTGTTTGTCTCTATAAGGGGCAAAGACAACACGTTTGCTGTGTTGTGCTTTTTCCAAACTAGAAATAGAGGCCATAATTGGCCCAGTTTCCCTGGAAAGAACCTGTCCATGTCCTTTCTTTTTGTGCTTAATACAGAATGATGGCACCTGCAGAAGGTTATCCCTCCGGGGGTGAGTGTCAATGTGGCCCGTATTATCTTTTGACTGGTGACAGAATCACCGCTGAGAGCCAGAGCTGGTTCCTCTCTATCCCATTTGTTTCAACTGTTTGTTGGTTGATGTTGACTGAGGGTTTTGTGTTCATGTAAAAAGGGAGCAAATGTAGATGTTGAGGTCATAAGCAGTTGTTGCCTTAACCTGTAACACTACAATAGTGTTACTGACTGATCACAGCTGATTCAAGTATCCTTGAGTTCAATGCACACATGGTGTCAGTGGCTTAGTGGCCAACGATATCAATTGATATTTTGTAATAGCAACTAATCAAATCAAACGATGTACAAAGATACTTCACCCGTATCTGGAGGTAATGGAGGTAAAAGTGAGTGAATCTTGAACTTATATTTGCTACGTGGCCAGAAACACCACTTACTACCAATGCTTCTCTCTAACTGCTGGATCACTTCTCCAACCACATAGCCTCATCTAGCTTTTCCTGTTTTGAATGAAAAGACCCTCCTCTTCACTGCTGGGAATTTTCCAGGCTGGTGGTGCAACTAAATTTGAATGAATAACAAACCCGTACAGGGTTGACCGTATCCAGCTGCCTTGCTGTAAGGCGTGTTCTCCGATTCAGTTTGAAATTGAGAGTCTGACCTTTTCTAACTTAACTGCTGAGCGAAGCTGTGCTGGGCAGCTCCGCTCTGTAAACCCCCACCCCCACCTCCCTGCCCTGCTCTCTCCTCTCTTTGCCCTGTGGGAGATTTCTAATTAAGCAAGACTGGGTAATCTCCTTGGCTAAAGTGATTAATGTTGGTAATTCTCCATCATCATATTATCCTACACTGGCCTGGTATTATTCTGACCCCCAAAATACATCAGCCACTTGCCAGCTAGCCATTTTTATCTCGGCAAATGATATTGATTGCCGATAATGAGGCTGTCACGGCTATGTTTATTTATGATGAGGCAACAAGAGAGATTTTCATGTCATGTTGATATCAAAGTGAATCAGCCAAGGCCATGGGGTGTGCTCGCTATAAAATGGAAGATAATTTATATTCTGGTCCATAATATAAATTTGTCCCAATTCCTTATCCACCTTTAAGCCTTCAGAACAATAATTGATTAGCTACATTAGGATTGATTTGAGCACAGAGCAGAACTGCAAATAGTCCTGGTGATGAACGGTCTGTGTCCCTTCACTCTGGCCCTATTACTTCATGCCCTGCACAATGTTCTAGTTATTGGGAGAGCCATTTGTCCTTTTGGGCGACTGGCATGTGCACACAGACACACACATTATCACTTTCACACAGCCCTGCCCCGGCATTGTGAATGCTGTTCCTCAGGGACGCACCTCAATCGGCAAAGTGTAGTCGCCTGAGGCTCAGCAAAGAATTGGCTGCTCCCTGTGACCTTGACCACGATAAATAAGGCTGGTTTTGATGTTACCCTTAAAAGACGCAGGGGTAGAGATATGCAGGCGAGGGAGAACTAGAAGACAGTAGATAACGTACATTTAGCTCTGGTCTAGTTCTACCATTTAGACTTTTGGTCTAATGCACAGTGCAACCACATCAGCTTTGCTTAAACACCACTACATTAAGCTACCATGTAACTGGTGGAGCTTGAGTGAGAACCACAAGCAGAGAAAAGGAAGCTGTACAAACATAAGCATCTGTATTTCACACCTAAATGGTGTGTGTGTGTGTGTGTGTGTGTGTGTGTGTGTGTGT